GGTCTCCAAGTCCGACCAGCTGCTCATCGTCGTGTCCATCCTAGAAGGTGAGCGCTTGCAACTGCGGCTTCCTGAACTTTGGCACTGGGGCGCGGGCCCGAGGCTTTGCTACCCTGCGGAGCCCTGATGCCCTGCTCGTGTGGTCCCCGGAGGTCTGCTCGCAGTGGTGCGTGGTGAGGTCGGTCCGGCCGTGGGTTACACCGTCGCGGGGGAGTGTGAGCGCTCTTAAGGGAAGTGCTGGGAGCGTGCTAGGTGCGGCCCCGCAGGATCTCGCCGCGGCGTGCCGGCGGCTTCCCCACCAGCGCTCCGTGCCTGCGAAGCTCGGCGGTCTGCAGGGAACGTCACCTGTAAGGACTCTGCCAGACTCGGGATAGCCTCCTGCAGTCTCGGAGGTTTTGCGGAGCCAGTTCCCTTCCTAAGATTTGGTGGAGGCCTCAGGGGAAGGCCGTGCTGCTGTGCCCTGCAGTTCTGTTTGTTGCAGAAATGCCATGTTTACGGGGGACGCATCGACTGTCAGGCACTGTGCTGGGAATGTAAGAAAAAGACAGTTGGCTTTCAGAGTCAGGGTGTAGCATGGACAGTGCGTCCACAGATGCGACATCCTCAGGATGTGGAAGAGGGAATACGCACCTCTGTCTGGGGAAGCTGGGGAAGGTCTGCCAGAGGAGCTGACATGCATTTGGGTCCTAAAGATGATGAAGGGTTTGTTAGATGAAAAAAGGAAGGGCATTCCAGGCAGAGGGTCGATCAAGGCGTATGGAGAGGCCAGGCGTGTTTTGCCTTGCTTGAGTTCGTTCAGTTACTGTTCTTAACCAGCATGATTGGAGAGCGCACTGCAGGAAGGTAGGCCTGCGAGTTGGTTGGCCAATTAGGACAGGTTTTGAATAACATAAGGAGGAGGAGTCCTCTTGGGACCAGAGCAAGACTAGAGGCTGGGTTCCCTCCACCCAACTTTAGTTTTTTATTGTGTGTATGTAGGGCTTGGCCCCACGGGGGAGTTGGGTGAGAAGAAAAGAAATGGTCTTCAATGTTGTAGAGTTTGGGAATAGCAGAGCGACCAGAAGCCACACAGGACTGAAATCATCTTGTCATTTGGTTAACAACAAAACTGTGCTCTCTGCTGTGGGGAAACAAATACAGTATCCTTTTCAAGGATGTCAGGATCTCCGTAGGGAGGTGGGTGAGTGTGCAGGCTGTGTGTTGGGGTGTAATAGAGCATTAAAAATCTGTGCTCCGGACTGTAAGGACAGCTTTGGGGGGCAGCATGGGGATGATGGCTGAAGTGCCTTGAGTGTAAGGTTCTAGCTAAGCGAGGAGAGATGGAGGTCAGTCCAGGCCTTTGTTCCGCCCAAGCCAACATGGGGATGAGCATGGTGGTTGAACGCGGAAGGTCAGTGAGATGGCCAGGGTAGGGGAGGCGAATCTTTAGGAGTACTTGCGTGGTGGTAAGAAATAAGCTGGTGTGACTAAGAGTGAATAGGCCTTGGAGATTTGGAAAACCACAGAGTTGACATTCACGTTCTGGGACAGGCTGGCAGCACATCTTCCTAAACAGAGGGAGTTTCTCAAGGTCAGTGACCGGGCGTGTGCAGGAACAGAACCCAGGGTCAGGGGTGCCAGCTGATCGCAGCCGCAAACACCCCTGCTCACTGCTCCTCCTCACCGTGTGTGTGAATTCGTCCTCACAACACCGTTGCCTCAGCCGGGGACCTGGGAGTCATCTTCACCGTGGATTTCTGCCCACCGCAGCTTCCAGGTGCTCACCAAGGGGTCTCGATTTTATTTCCTCAATCACGCATATGCTTTTGAGTGAGTTTCTCCTGTGAGTGCATTAGTCAGGGACCTTCCTTATCTACCTAGTTTACTGTAATAATCTTTTCAGTAACCTGTTTCCTGAAATTTCTTCCCTTCTTTTCAGTGACATCTGGAGATAATACAGTGTTCTTAAATCCTTTGGTGTCCTGAAGGATGGTCTTCAGGCTTAGAACAGCACGCATGCCCCTTGTGGTAGACGTCTTGCCTGCTTTTTCCATCTCTTTCCAAAAAAATATTCCCAGCCCCTCAGCTATTGTGTATTGAGCTGTGGGCAATCTCTGGACCAGACTTCTAGAAATACTCTTTGTTGGGAAGAAAATGATGGAATATCTAACATGAGCATAATTTGGGCAAGAACAGTGATATTTCTTTTTATTGAAGGACTGAAATTTATTCAGGGCTAGCTGATGGCATGGTGGTTGAGGCAGCTGGATCTTACATGGCCCACTGTGTGGTTCAGGACCCGGATCTGGCAGCTTGGAAAATATACTGGTCACATGTGCATACTTGCCCAAAATACTGCGAGGAGACTGGAGGAGTGGGGATTGCAGTGTGGCCATCACCTCTGGCGGGGGTGACTTTGCTTTCTGTCTCTGAAAGCATATATGCCCTATGTAAAAGTTAAAAGAAACGTTCTCCAGCTGATAGACGTAGGGTAACAACCTCTCAGCTTCAGTTTTCCCATCTGTAATATAGGTGAAATAACACCAACTCTATAGGGTTGTATAAAATGAGTTATTGTTACAAAGTACTGTGAAAATTTCCTGGCACATTAAAAAATGTAAATACGACTGTTACCATAATCTAATGAGAGGTAAAATGTTTTACAGTGGTCTGAAATAGAAGAGGCCAATGAGGATGCTAACTTAAGTCGAAAATAATGGTCAGCAAAAAGATTGAAACATCAAAGGACGGAAAAGACAGGGTTTCTGTTCTTGGGGTGTTCACTGTCTTTGGGCAAGGCAGGCCCCTGTTTGTTTCATGCATACCTTCTGTTCTCGAGTTTGTTGGAGATTCTTTTATTATATAATAGTCTGGCTGAAAATAGAGGTTTGTTTTTCAGGCTACCAGGGCCAGGACTCAAACAGAGCAGTTGACAGTGTGGGATCTAGCCCCCTTAACCACTGGGCCACAGGGCTGTTTCTTTCTTCCAGAACCTCAGTTCTCTGAGGGCAATTTTGTTTACTCTTTTCGCATTTCATTGTCTGATATAATACTTGACTCTGAGTGTCCCTTCAGTAAATATCGAAGAAATGGGGTTAGGCAGTATGATGAAAAGTGGTGTGCAGATAGAATATTGTAATATTTCTGGAAGCTACACATCAATGTCCTTGAGAATAAAATGGATGGCTCTGTGTGTGAATTTCTCTTTCGCTAATTTGGATAGTATTTTTAACAAAGTTAACAGAAAATTAAGATGCAAATAAATTATTTTTGCTGATTTAATTCCCCAGCTCTTCAAATGTCTGATCCATATTAAGTACTGATATAGTAAAAATCTAAAAATTGATTTAATGACATTTTTAACTCTTGAGTTCTAAATGTCATTGAAGGCATGCTTAGAATGTGCCCAAGGAGAGTAGTGTTGACATCAACCAAGATCTTGTTAGAAGTGCAGAATCTCGGCCCATGCGAGAGCGACTGACCCAGAATCTGTAAGTTAGCCAGAGTCCCAGGTGATTCATATATACACTAGTGTGTGAGAAGGGCTGATTTTATAGTTTGCTTTTTTTTTGGAGAGGTTTTTACTACAGGGCGTGTGCGCTCACCAGACAGAGAGAGACAGAGAGACAGAAAGCGAGAAATCACTCCCCCAGCGGGGATGGTCACGCCACAATCCCTTCTCCTCCATTCTCCTCTCGGGATCTTGGGCATCCATGCACATGGGCCCCACATGAATTTAAGCCACCAGGTCCGGGACTCGAACTGCGGTCAACAACATGGGAGTTCAGCGACATAGCCATTACGCTAACTGCTGGTCCCACAAATTATAGTTTTTCATTTGATTCACATTTCCTATGACTCATGAAAGCAAAATTTTGTGTGTGTGTGCGTGTGTGTGCATGCGTGTTAATGAAATAATGTATGGAATGCATAAGTTAACTTCTCTTACTATATATCAGTTTTAAAAACAAGCTAAATGACCCCGTTCAATTGTCGTGTGTGTTGGATTAATCCGTGTAGCCTTGTTTCCCCAGGTCGCCATTTCCCCAAACGTCCGAAGCACATGCTTGTAGTCGAAGCAAAGTTCGATGGAGAACAGCTGGCGACGGACCCTGTGGACCACACTGACCAGCCAGAGTTCGCCACCGAGCTAGCCTGGGAAATCGACAGGAAAGCCCTCCATCAGCACAGGTGACTTATTTTCCATTCACGTTAGCATCTTTCTTTTTTGGACAGGTTTTCACTGTAGGGCACGTGTGCTCGCCAGAAAGACAGAGAGAGACAGAGAGACAGAAAGTGAAAAATCCTGCCCCCGGGGGGATGGCCACGCTGCAATCCCTTCTCCTCCATTCTCCTCTCGGGATCTTGGGCACGCACGCACATGCGCCGGCGTGAGTTTAAGCCACTGGGTCTGGGACTCGAACCATGGTCGACTACGTGGGAGTCCAGCGACATAGCCATTACATTAACTGCTGGTCCCTACATTAGCACCTTTATGAGTCTTTTATTTTTTCAGACTGTTACAAGTGAATAACTTTCATCTCTCTCTCTAGGTTATAGTAGTATTTATTTACTTATGTTTAATGTGCCAGGAGATTTTCACAGTACTTTGTAACAAGTCCTTGAACTATCAGAACAACCTCATAAATTTGGTTTTATTCTCTCCCCGTGTCACAGAGGAAGAAGCAGAGGCCTGAGAGCTTCAGTAACTTGTGCTGAGTGTGTCGGCTTCGCAATGGGCCTCACAGTCTAGTCTAGCTCCAGAGCCTACGCTTACAACTGTCACTTTTGTCTTTTCTTTTCTTTTCTTTCTTTCTTTCTTTTTTTTTTTTTTTTTTGCTAACATGTGAGATAGTAGATTTTCTAGTTGTACCTTGGTGAGGCCTATCCAATATTAACCGTAAATTGGAGGCCTGGCCCCATAGCACAGTGATTAAGGGAGGCAGATAACACGTGGCTGGCACAGTTCAGACCCAGGCCCTGGCAGTTTGAAAAACACTGGGTGCGTGTGTGAGAGACTGGAATCACCGGAAGGAGAAATGGAGGACAGGGATTGCGGCGTGCTTCATGCTCTCTAGCAATTAAAAAGAAAAGTAGGAGATGGAGTTCACTGTACTTTTTCTTAGTTCATTCGTTTGTTGACTTGCCATGATACATAAAGATCACCAGTGAAAAGTTATGGAAGTAGTTACATAAGAGATTCATTGTAATTAATTCTAGTCTTGATTTTAGACAGTTTATTAATATATAAAGGATTTAAAGTTATAGCATTTTAATTTTTTTTATGATCTCTGTGACCAGAAGCAGGCAAGATCAGCAATACTTTGTTTTATTAAAGGATTGAAAATAGATTTCCTTTGGGAAACAGTCACTTTAATACTCGATTTTTCTCAGTACAAAGTCAAATCAATATATAAAGTTAAAGAGGGAAGCAAAGAGAACTTTTTTCCTATTGCTCGATCAGTCTATGGATTTATTTAAAGAGTTAAATTCTTAGAGAATATCACAATGTTGTTTTTACTTTCAGTAGCATTTGGAATATTTATGTAGGTAGAGTCCTGCAGTGCAGTGAAATTTTGCCAAGCGGTACCATTCTGGTTGTTGTAGGCCGAGAAAATAACAGATAAATTGAAATTGTGAGTAATGATTTTTTGCTAAATGCAGTTTCCAGTAATTGCATTAGATAAAAGTTATGGCCAGATCTGTTCGGCTCAGTGTCTGAGCCAGGAGAGGGGTTCCAAACTCAAAAGGACCTACATTGTATGAGTCCCTATCATGCTCATAGAAAGTGTCATGTGTTACATTATATGATGAATTTACATGTTCATAGTTCATGATCTTTGTGGTATTCCTAAGTTTGTGTTTAGCTACCAAAGAGCTATAAGTATAGTTGTATATTTGTAATTTGTGTGACAATATAAAAAAAATTATTTCAGTCCTGAAAATGCATTATAATTTTTGACCTTCAAAGTGATGTATATGCTATAGAAGCTTAAGAAACATTCATCTAGATGGTAGCCTCTTCAGCGAAAGAGATTACATTTTTGAGATTGTTGAGACCTGCAAGGCAAAGAGGAGATGGGATCCCCGAGTGGGAGAGACACTGGATTTGGGAAAGACAGACACACAAGTAGAGAAAAGCGGATCTGGGGCACAGTGGGTGTCTCTGGCGGAGATTCCATGGCACTGAGTCGTTCACATAGGGCAGCAGGGGAGGGAGTGGCGGGAGGTAGAGCCAGGTGTTTTCTGCTGTGACTGTGAGCATCTTGCATCGTGGGGTTCTAAATAAGCTCCACCTGGCCTTCTCTGGCTGAAACATAGTCTCCTTTAACTACTGCTGGCTGTGAGGCATGGTCCAGAGCAAGGGAGTTGGCTCTGCCTGTCTTTAAAGGTCACCATTGTTCAGTTCAGATCCAGCCACTCCCCAGATGTACATAAGTAGATATCATTAATTTTTGCTTTCTACAGGGCACACAAACTCTTCAGAGAGGGAAAGGAGAAAGCACCTCCCATGGGGAATGGTCATGACACAGTCTCTCACCCTCCATTCCTCCACCCTGTCAGGATTTTGGGGCACTCATGTACACAGGCTTGATGTGCTTCTCAGTCCACCAGCTCTGGGACTCGAACCACGCAGTTGGCTATGTGGGATCGGCTGCCTTAACCCCCCAGTCATAGAGCTAGCTGTACAATGTTCTTGCTAGTTGAAATTTTTCTTCGAAGATAGAAAATAGATATTGCTTATCCAACAAAATTATTATGGTAGCAGAGAGCATTTTATTTTCACAATTAAGGGAAAGTTTTTCTTTTATTTATTTATTTTTTTTTTTGAGAGGTTTTTGCTATAGGTTGTGTACGCTCACCAGACAGACAGAGAGAGACAGAGAGACAGGAAGAGAGAAATCACTCCCCAGGGGGGATGGCCATGCCGCAATTCCTTCTCCTCCATTCTCCTCTCAGTATCTTGGGCATGCACTCACATGCGCCTGGTGTGAGTTTAAGCCACTGGGTTCGGGACTCGAACTGTGATCGACTATGTGGGAGTCCAGCGACATAGCCATTATGCTAACTGCTGGTCCCAAGAGAAAGTTCTTTATTAAGCAAAAATCACTTTACTTATCATATAACTTATGTCACAGGCTACAGCGTACTCCGGTCAAACTCCAGTGTTTTGCCTTGGACCCCTCAACTTCAGCCAAAGAAACCATAGGTTACATTGTTCTGGACTTAAGAACCGCTCAAGAAACAAAGCAGGTAATGTCCTTTCGATATTTTGTTAATGATTATATTTACCAGTTGGTTATTTTCAGCTGATACAAGATGGATGAAAAGGACATGAAATGCTAGACCTGGCAGATCCTGGGCTTGAGCCAGTATGACAATTCTTATGTTTTAGTTTATGAATTTGTTTTAGAAAATTCCAACTTTTAAATCATTTTTTTGACCAAGTGTCTTTGTCAAAGAAACTCATGTCTAAGCTTAAACCTATCTCCAAGTTATTACCTCAAGTTTAACATGTTCAACTCATGAGCTTTTCTTTTTCTTTCATTTTACTTCTTTCTTTATTTTATTCATTCATTTATTTTTTAATTTTTTTGGAGACTTTTTTTTTTTCACTATAGGGCACGTGTGCTTGCCAGACAGACAGAGAGAGACAGAGAGACAGAAAGCGAGAAATCACCCCCCAGGGGGGATGGTCACGCCGCAATCCCTTCTCCTCCATTCTCCTCTCGGGATCTTGGGCACGCACGCACACGTGCCCGGCGTGAGTTTTAAGCCACCGGGTCCGGGACGCGAACCGCGGTCAACTACGTGGGAGTCCAGCGACATAGCCATTACGCTAACTGCTGGTTCCCTCATTCATTTATTTTTAAATTGACCAGAGAGACAGAGACAGAGAGAGAGAGAGAGAAGGAAAGTGAAAAAGCAAGCCACCAGGTCCAGGACTCGAACCGTGGTCAGCCATGTGAGAGTGTCTAGCACCTTAACCACCACACCACCTGCTGGTCCCTTTTTTAAAAACATTTATTTGTTTTTATTTATTTATGTGAGCTTTTCTTTGAGAGGTCCTCTCAGTGTTTTTGGCTTTAGTGGTTACTGTTCTTCCAGTCATGTAAGTTAGAGACAGAGCTGTCTCCTTTGACCCTTGCTCTTCTTCCACACATGCTTTTTTTTTTTTTTTCTTACTGATCTATCAGCTCTGCATTTTCGCTGTTGCCACCCTAGTCTGAGCCACCATCGTTTCTTACCTTGGCTGTCATGGTGGCCTCCTGCCTGGTTTCCCTGGGTCTCACTCGCTGCATGGCCTACGTAGTAGTCAGGGTAAGTGAACGTCCTTGAAACACACTTGGTGTTACGTAACCAGTGCCGTCGCTGTCTCTGAGCCTCCAAAGAAAAGCAGTCAGGCTTAATTCCTACGTTAGCTTTTTATTACTGAACGTATACTGCTGCTTAAGTCTTTCAAATATCCTCCAACTTTTTGGGATATAGTTGACTTTAGAAATCTGTCGTTTGGCTTTTTTAGTGTTTTATTAAAAATAAAGTAAAAAATTTAAAAAAGAAAATTTTATTTTGAATTCCTCTAATTTTTTTTTTTTTTTTGAGAGATTTTCACTGTAGGGCGCGTGCGCTCGCCCGACAGACAGAGAGAGACATAGAGACAGAAAACGAGAAATCACCCCCCAGGGGGGATGGTCACGCCGCAATCCCTTCTCCTCCATTCTCCTCTCGGGATCTTGGGCACGCACGCACACGCGCCTGGCGTGAGTTTTAAGCCACCGGGTCCGGGACACGAACCGCGGTCGACTACGTGGGAGTCCAGCGACATAGCCATTACGCTAACTGCTGGTTCCCAGAATTCCTCTCTTCTTGATTTGAATCATTCTGTTAAAGACAGTCTTGCCATGTGGCAGTCCTCCTGGTTCAACCTCCCAGTGGAAGTGGCAGACCTTTCCTTTTGTGGCGTCACTCTGGTATCTGCTGAAAATATTTGGCTAGTGGACTAGTTCGGGTTGAAAATAATCGATTCTCTGGGCCAGCAGGTATCATGGGAGTTACAATGGCTGCGTCTCACATGTCTGACTGCACAGTTCGGGTCCTGGACCTGGTGGCTTGAAAAACACACCAGGGGGACCAGCAGTTAGTGTAATGGCTATGTCACTGGACTCCCATGTAGCTGACCACGGTTCGAGTCCTGAACCTGGTGGCTTAAACTCACGCCGGGCGCATGTGCGTGTGTGCCCAAGATCCTGAGAGGAGAATGGAGGAGAAAGGGTTGTGGCGTGGCCATCCCCCCTGCGGGTTGATTTCTCACTTTCTATCTCTCTGTCTCTCGGGCGAGCACACCAGCCCTATAGCAAAAAAACTAAAAAAAAAAAAGAAAAAGAAAAAAACACACCAGGCACTTGTGCACTCATACCCAAGAACCCAAGAGGAGAGTGGAGAAGGGATTGTGCCATGACCATACCCCGGGGGAGGAGGGCTGCTGCTTCTCTCTCTCTCTGTCTCCCTCTGACAAGTACATGTGCCTTATAGCAAACTAAAAAAAAAAAGAAGTTGCTTTTCTGTAAATACATGTAAACACGGGACAATCCACATTTATTTTTCTTAGTTACATAATAGAAAAATACAAATTTTTCAAGTAGCTAAAAATCTGACTTTTTTTAGGCTAATACTCAAGATTCGAGACTATCAGTCATAAGTATAGAAACAAATTATACTGTACACTTTTTCTTTCTTTCTTTCTTTTTTTAAAGTTTGTACAGGGCAGGTGTGCTTGCCAGGGTGGGGAGAGAGAGAGAGAAATTCCCCCCACCTCATGGGGATGGCTATACTGCAGTCCCCTCTCCTCCATTCTCTTCTCAGGATTCCAGGCATGTATGCACATGGACCTGGCATGATTTCCAAGCTGCTGGGTTTGGGATTTGAACTGTACAGTTGGTCATGTGGGATTCAGAGGCCTTCACCTCCATGCCACCTGCTGGTCCACTGTACATTTTTATCTTTAAGTTGTAGATTTTTTTAAAACCATGGCCTTGTTACTTCTGGTTTACTTGTCAAACACAAGTTGGTGTAAAGCAGCAACTGCCGGCTCTGCTCGGGGTAAGCGCCAGTTACTGTATCTTGGATAACAGCTGTCAGTGCACTCTGTCTCCAGGTACTGAAGTGGCATCTCTGGTGACCAGTGTCTCCTGCACCAGTGACACACGCACACACTCCTGGGCCAGGAGATTTCCAGGCTGCTCTGACCCTGGAATCCTTGCTGTCCTTAATGTCCCTGCGAAGGGTACTCAGTAATCCAGGGTGCCTCGTTCTGTGTGAAGGCCTTTGCTTCAGCATCACCCAGGTACCTGGTGTGTAACCTGGGACTCTGCCGTCAGGCTCTACTTCAGATTTTTATTCTTTTCTTTTGTAAATTTACACTGAGATTTATCTTAGTTGCTATAAGTAGAACAAAGCAGAAATATGGCAGGAAAAAGTTATATTAAAAATTTTGAAAAAGTAAGGGTTAAGGAAACAAAATTGATACATTTTTGTTATTTAAGGGAAGAAATTAGGTGGAGACATGAGGCTAAAGGTTTTCTTTCCTTTAATATTCTTTGTGGGGACCAGCAGATGGCATAATGGTTATCTTGCTGGACTCCTACCTGGCTGACCACAGTTTGAGTCCTGGACTTGGCAGCTTGCATGTATGCCCAAAATCCCAAGAGGAGAATGGAGGGAAAGGGATAGTGATGTGGCCATCCCCCCAGGGGCTGATTTCTTGTTTTCTGTCTCTCTCTCTCTCTGGCATGTGCACGTGTCCTATAGCAAAAATCTATCTCTCTCTAAAAAAAAAAATACGTATATATATATACATACACACACACACGTATTTATTTCTGTTGCAGTACAGAATGGAAGCAATGAAGACCATCTAAAACTTCTACTTAGGTTTTTCAAAGGGAAATTTAGTTGATGATTTCCTAAGCAGGATTAATTTGTTGTGGGGAACCCACAACAACAAAATACCTTTAAAAAAAATTTTTTTAAAGAAGAGAAAGTGCTGAAAAGTTATATTTATTTAGAACCTTCTGGAACGTTTTCTAATACTTCTTTTTTCCCTATTAACTGTTAGCATGTTTCGTTGTTATCACATAGGCACCAAAATGGTACCAGCTGCTGAGTAACAAATACACCAAGTTCAAGTCTGAGATACAGCTAAGCATTGCTTTGGAGACAGACACGAAGGCGCCAGTGGATAGTTTTAAAGCAAAGGGAGCCCCTCCTCGAGATGGAAAAGGTTTGTGCATCATCTCTAAAGACAGGCCCTGGGATGTTAGGAATGGAGGGGATGTTGTAGGGGCTGCACTTGTGGGATTGTAAGATGATTTTATGCTAGCGATTAGATGTTATGACATTGTTACACACAGAGCACTCAGGATTCATAGCCGTTGCTTACAACCCCTGAGAAAAAGCGTTTCTGGGCCAGCCCCATTGTACAGTTGTTAAGTGCCTAGAAAACCAGATCCCACACAGCTGCTCATGGTTCAAATCCTGGCCCTGGCAGCTTGAAAAACATGCTGTGTGTGTGCATATGTGTGTGCCTGCCCCAGGTCCCGGTGGGATGGAGAAACGGAGAGAAAAGATTGTGGCCTGGCCGTGCCCCAGTGGGTGCCTCCTCGCGCTCAGGTGCGCACATATGCCTGTGCACACTGCGGTGAGTGCATGTGTTCACTCAAGAAAAAAGATTTTTTAAAGAAATAAGGGAAGCTTTTCTTTTCCTTATTTTTTTTTTTTAATAGTAGACCGAAGCAGAATTTTATATTTTTAAAAAAATTTCTACTTGGAAAGTGTTTTCTCTTAAGATAAGTACAGAAAAGCCCAGCATGGTTATGGTGTTCTTTCTTTATTAAGTGTAGTTTGTTTGTTTGTATTTCTTTTTAAATTACATCCTGCAGACATGCACAACCTCCCCACCTGTCACCATCCCTGCACCACAGTGGCAGTGTTACCATTGAGTCACATGGACTCCTCACGGTCACCCAGGGTTCGTGGTTTACATTACGGTTCATTTTTGCTGGGGTACATTCTTCAGGTTTTGACAAGTGCATATGACACGTATCTACCCCTGAGCTTTCATACAGAGCAGTTTCTGTGTCCTAGAAATCCTCTCTCTGCCTGTTCATTCCTGCCTCCCCACAGCAACCCCTGGCAGCTACCAGTCTGTTTAATTGTCTCTGTAGTTTTGCTTTTTATGGGACGTCACATAGGAATGATACATTGGGTTGTTGGAAAAGTCATGACTCATTTTTGCATAGAAAAACATAGAAAAAAATGTCATGACTTTCCAACAACCCAGTAGTTTGTAGCCATTTCCCGTTGGCTTCTGCAACGTAATAATACAGTGCGTTTGTGGCTTCTCTCCGTCCTTGCTCAGCTTAACTAGCTCATCTCTTTTTAGGGCTGAGTACTATTTCACTGTTTGGATATACCACAGTTTATCCACCCGTACTAAAGGACATCTTGGTTGTTTCTACCTTTTGGCAGTTATGAGTAAAACTGGTAAATACATCTGTGTGCAGGTTTCTGTATGCACAAGTTTTTGGTCTATTTAGGTAGATACCAAGCAGTGTGATTGCTAGGTTGGATGCTTAGAGTATATTTAGTTTTAGGGGCCAGCAGATGACGTAGTGGTTTTGTCACTGGACTCCCACGTATTCAACTGTGGTTCGAGTCTCAGATCTGGTGGCTTAAAACTCACGCTGGGCGCATGTTCATACATGCCCAAAATCCCGAGAGGAGAATGGAGGAAAAGAGACTGTGGTGTGCAGTCCCCTCGGAGGGTGATTTCTTGTCTTCTGACTCTCATTCTATAGCAAAAAATATCTCTCAGGGAAAAAATTTAAAAAGAGAGACTATATTTAGTTTTGTAAAAAAAACATAATAATCTCCAGTCTTCAAAGGGATGGTACCATTTTGCATTCCTACTGGCAATGGATTAAGAGTTCCTGTTGCTCCACATCCTCAGCAGCATTAGGTGTTGTCGGTGTTTGGATTTAGGCCATTTTATTGATAATAGCTCTATAATGCTATCTATTTTTTAATTATTATTTATTTACTTCCATTTGCTATTATTATTATTATTTTAATTTATTTATTCATTAATTTTAATTTGACCAGAGAGAGAGACACCGAGAGAGAGGGAAAGTGAGAAAGCAAGCCACCAGGTCCAGGACTCAAACCATGGTTGGCCATATGTGAGTGTCCAGCACTTTAACCACCACGCCACCTGCTGATTCCCGCTATTATTATTTTTTAATTTGCCTATACAGAGGCAGGGAGAGAGAGGAAGGTAAAGCCAGAAAGCAAGCTACAAGATCTGGAACTTGAACTGTGGTTAGCCCTGTGGGAATCTAGTGCCTTTAACCACCACGCCACCTGCCGACCCCAGTGGAACGTTGTTTTAATTTGTAATTCCTTAGTGACGTACTAGAATACTCAGTGTGTTTATATATGCTTACCTGCCATCTGTATATTATTGATGAGCATCTGCTCAATTTTTTTAATCAGGTTATTTATTATCATTGACCATTATGAGTTTGTGTATTTTTGATATAGCCCTTTATCATATGTGGTTTTTGAAAATGTTTTCCCTATTTGTAGCTTGTCTTCTTGTTTTCCTGACATTGTCTTTCACAGAGCAGCAGTTTTCCATTTCAATCAAGTCCAGCCTACCAGTTAGTTCATTTCTGGATCATGACTTCACTGTTGTATCTAAAAAGTTACTGCCTTGTTATGTAGGTTTCTAGGTTTGCCAAGGCCTTCTAGGTTTCTCTGATCATGTCTTCTAGAGTTTTATAGTTTTGTATTTTACATTTAGGCCTATGGTTCATTTTGAGTTAATTTTTTCTTAACTGCTACATTTTTTTTTAATTACTGAAGAGCATGTGTGCTCATGAGAGAGAGCAAGAGAGTGAGTGAGTGAGTGAGCATGCATGTTTCCTAAAGGGGAATGGTCACCCTATAATCCTTCTTCCTCCTTTCTCCTTCACTCAGCATTTTTTTTTTTTTTTTGAGAGATTTTCACTGTAGGGCGCGTGCGCTCGCCAGACAGACAGAGAGAGACATAGAGACAGAAAGCGAGAAATCACCCCCCAGGGGGGATGGTCACGCCGCAATCCCTTCTCCTCCATTCTCCTCTTGGGATCTTGGGCACGCACGCACATGCGCCCGGCGTGAGTTTTAAGCCACCGGGTCCGGGACACGAACCGCGGTCGACTACGTGGGAGTCCAGCGACATAGCCATTACGCTAACTGCTGGTTCCCTCCTTCGCTCAGCAGTTTGATGTGCATGCATATGCATCTGGAGTGTTCTTCAAGTCACCAGGCCAGGATTCGAGCCACAGCCAGCTATGTGGGATCCGGCTTCCTATGTGCAGTACTTAACTGCTGAACTACTTGCTAGCCTAAGTTAACTTTTGTGAGGGTCTCTGCTGCGGTTCTGTGTGCAGATTCAGGCATGGACTGGGGGTCTGGTATCCTCCCTGGTGAGGGGAACTGCTGACACGTGGATGTGGCGGTTTTCCAGTACCATTTGTTGCAGACTCTTTGCTCCACGGCATCACTTTTGCTCTTTGTCGGAGACCAGTCGATGGTACTTCGTGTGTCTATCCCTGGGCTCTTTTGTCAATACCACACCGTCTTGGTCACTGTGACTTTATGGTAAGACTTGAAGTCAGGAGTGGCAGTGCTTCAGCTGTGTTCTCCTTCAGTACTGAGTTGGTGGTTCTAGGTCTTTTGCCCTCTGTGTAAACCGTGGCTGCCCGTGACACTGCAGTCCCTTCTCCGCCATCTCTCCCCTTTGGGGAATTTCCCCAGTTTTCTAGTATCCATAAATAGTTTGTGGGGATTTTGATTGGGACTGTGTTGGGAAACACTGACGTTTTGACAATATCACATCTTCTCCTCATGAGTATGCACTGTCTCCCCATCGATTTTTTTGTCTGATTTCATCAGAGTTTTAGAATTTTTCTCCTATAGATCATGTACATATTTTGTTAATTTCTTACCTAAGTATATATATTTTTTTGGTAAATGTAAATGGTAATGTGTTTTTATTTCAAATTCTATTTGTTGGGGAACCAGCAGTTAGCGTAATGGCTGTGTCGCTGGACTCCCACGTAGTCGACCGTGGTTCGTGTCCCGGACCCGGTGGCTTAAAACTCACACCGGGCGCGTGTGCGTGCGTGCCCAAGATCCCGAGAGGAAAATGGAGGAGAGGGGATTGCGGCGTGACCATCCCCCCTGGGGGGTGATTTCCTGCTTTCTGTCTCTATGTCTCTCTCTGTCTGTCTGGCGAGCGCACGCGCGCTACAGTGAAAATCTCTCCAAAAAAAAAAAAATTCTATTTGTTCAGAAATAGAATTTGGTAGTATATTGCAAAGCTATTGACTTTTGCATGTCAACTTTGCGTCCTACAACCTTGCTGAAATCATTGATATAGGAGGTTGTGGTTTTCTTGGTCGATTCTTTTCACACGCCCATTTTCTGCATAGTTACACATGTTCTCTGTAAAGACAGTTTGTTTCTTCCTTCCCACACTGTATACCAAGCCACACTGACAAGGACTTCAGGTATGATGCCGAAACGGGATAGTCAGAGGGGATATCCTTGCCTCGTTCCTGGTCTTTGCGGTAATTTTGAGTTTCTTACGATTAAGTATGATTTTTGTAGACATTATTTGTTATGTTTAAAAGCTTCCCTCTCTTCCTAGGTTGCTGGGAGTCTTTATTGTAAGTGGGCTGTTGGATTTCGTTAAGTGCTTTCTCTTCATTTGTTGATTCATCATACAGTTTTTTAGCCTGGTGATGTAACTAATCGCATTAATTGATTTTTAAAAAATAATTATTTTATTTGACTTTATTTATTTATTTATTTATTTAAATTTGACCAGAGCAGGAGGGAGAGAGAGAAAGTGAGAAAGCAAACTGCCAGGTCTGGAACTTGAACCGCAGTCGGTCATGTGGGAGTCCAGCGCCCTTAACCACCATGCCACCTGCCAGACCCCACATTAATTGATTTTTGAATGTTGAACTACCCCCGAGTACCTGTGATAAGTTCCACTTGATCATAGTGTGTAATTCTTCTATACCTGTTGGTATGAAAGACATACAGACACACATATATACATTGATATATTCAATAGATTTAAATAAATATAAATGAAAAGATGTATATGTGTATACACATATACTTTTTTTTTTTTTTTTGGCTTGAGATCATCAGCATTTACCAGAGAGAGAGAAAGAGAGAGAGAAGAAATTACCCCCTATGGGGAATGGTCATGCTGCATTTTCTTCTCCTCCAGTTCTCCCTCCTTTTGGGATTTTGGACACACACACATATGCCCAGCCATTGGGTCTAGGCCTTGTCCTGTGTGGTTGGCCATGAGGGATCCGGTGCCTCCACCTCCCCGGGCCGTGGAGCCAGCCCAGTGTGCTAGTGTGGTGTGCAAGATTTTTGCATTTATGTGCATGGGAGATATTGGTCTGTAATGCGTGTGTTTGCTTTCTTACAATGTATTTGATTTTGATATTAGGACGTTGCTTGCTGGCCTCATAGAATGAGTTAAGGAATATTCTCTGTTTTTTTTTTTTTTTCTCTTTTTTGGAGATGTTTTTGCTATAGGGCATGTGTGCTTGCCAGACAGACAGAGAGAGAGAGACAGAAAGCGAGAAATCATCCCCCTGGGGGGATGGCCACGCCGCAGTCCCTCCTCCATTCTCCTCTCGGGATCATGCACACGCAGCACACACGCCCGGTGTGAGTTTAGGCCATCGGATCCAGGACTTGAACCGCGGTCGACTACCTGGGAGTCCAGTGACATAGCCATTATGCCAACTGCTGGTCCCGGAATATTCTCTGTTTCTATTTTCAGAAAAGAGTACATTCTTTCTTAAGTGTTTGGTACAATACACCAGTGAACTTATCTGGATTTGGTGCTTTCTGTTCCGGAAAGTTAGGCCCCTACCTCTTAATATCTTCAGATTGGCCATTAAGTTTCAACACCTGAATTTTGGAGGGAACATTTTGAAACCATCAGACATACACATCTTTTCAACTATATTTATTCAAATCTATTGAATATATGAATGTACACTGACACCTTCAATTCTAGCCCTACAATACAGATTTATTCCAGCTTCCTCACTTTCCATATTTGTAATTTCCTTTCTTGATGGTGAATAACCTGCCACATTTTAACTTCTAAACTCTATTGGTCTCACTATAATGGCTTCCTTTAAAGTGCTCAGTTTGTTAGATACTGTGTTAATCCTTTGTGATCTTATTTTATTTGACCTTTTCAACAACTACATAAAACTTTTCAGAGGAAATCACATAGCTTTTTTGTACAACTTGTAAATGATTGAACTGGGGGATCGAAACCTAGGAAATTGTGTGGTTAACAGCAAATATCCGTGCCTGTTCTAAAGTAGGTGTATTGCTTTAGGAGCAGCTCCTAGAAGAGGGACTGCTTGTTTATGGGGTTTGCGTATATAAAATTGCGATAGGCCCTGTTACCTACCCTCCAGTAGGTTATGTTGGTGTGCACCCGCCTACGTGGAGAGTGCCCCTATTTCTGTATTGTCCCCAGCACCGGATGGCATTTGTCATCTTAGGGGTGCACATGTGTGTGTATATTTTAAGTCAGCTTGAAAAACCTTTGTCTCTAGTCTCTTCATGCCAAAGCCATTTGATTATATCAGTTCCTCAAAATTGTTTTGTCGGTTCACTAGGAAACCTTTGTTAGATGGCTATTCTATATGGTTCATTAAACTAGAGATTTTAAAATGTTATCTTATTTTAGAAGGAAAACAGGGTCACTGAAGGTTTCTTGGAAGACTATACGAAGTGAAAGGAAACTTTATTAAGCTATTAACCATATCCATGAAAACTGCCAAGCAAACTAAAAAATATTGTCACCTCTTAAAACCCTACAGTGGCTCATGGCAGACTGCAATTTAGTCTAATTGTGTTTCCTCTGTGTAGTGCCTGCCAGCCTGTCTGAACTCGACCCTAAGGACATAGTGGCAGTGCTGAACGAGGAGGGCGGCTACCATCAGATTGGCCCAGCCGAGTACTGCACTGACGCCTTCATTCTGTCAGTGACCATAGCGTTCGCCACCCAGCTGGAGCAGGTGAGACTCCCTGAGGTCACGGTTCATTACTAGCGGTTAAAGAACTCGAAAGCATTTTAGTCTTAAAATCCTAGCTTTAGGTATTAAAAAGATCTGCAAGTAGACATACCACCCCCCTTTTGTCAGAGGGTGCGTGTGCTCCCCAGAGAGGGGGAGATAAAGCATCCCCAATGGGGCACGGTCTACCATAATCCCTTCCTTTCCATTCTCCGTCCGTTTGGGGCATGCACACACCTATGTTTTTCAGGTCGCTGGGGCCAGGACTCAAACTAAGGGGTGCTGTGTAGGAACCGGCTTCCACTGGGCCATGGGGCTGGCCTAGACTTTTTAAAATTTACTTTTTAACTGTTCCATTTTCCTGTATAGTTTATTATAAGGGTCTCAGTGTCAGAACACTTTCATTCTTTGCTGCTTTCCAGTTTTCTTGATCAGTTCTTCATTTTTTTCCTTCACAATGTTGCATGCCACACTTGAGGCCATGAAGCACCAAGCACCACAGCCGAAGGGCCCCAGTAGTCGTCTTCAGTGACCTATAGACTTGTCACATGCAGTAGCGTATTTTTTACCTCCATCTTCTGTGACAAGTTTTTGGGAAATATGTCATGGCAACCTTCATGCCACTTCAGATTCAGGCTTTGCTGTCCCTAAAAATTCTACATCCTGGCGATCCTGGCGACGAGCCCGAACACACTGCCGCTGCCCTGCCTGCACAACTGGTGGGAATCCGCTTGTCTCTCATCAGTGGTGACGTGGAAAGCTAGACTTCACTTTTTAAAATGAGTTCAAAAGTGTTTTCTTTTCATACCAAAGGATTTTTGTTTTAGGTAAACACCGAATCTCTGTGATCTGGTAGTGAGAAAATAAAACTCTCAAGGTTTAGGAATGTGGCCATCAGTAGGCATTCTTTCCCATCATGCTGTGTGGCATTGTGGGGACTGACATAAAATTATGTTTTAAATTCACTTTTTGAAGCCTTTACTTTGTGGAGAAATTTGCAAAGTTGGGAACACTTTTCTGTCAGTAATTCTCGGTGCCTTTCAGGTGTGCAATTATATTTGACCTTGTTTCTATGCTAACATATACTGCTTCGGTCATCGACGCTGGCAGGAGACATAGATCCTTAGGTCGGAAACAGGGCCTCGTTACTGTCGGCACAGCAAGCAGCATGAGTACTGGCTTGTTTCCTTCCGTTCCCCAACCCCGGGCCCTTGGGGGCTACACGGAGGGGGTTGCTCTACACACAGCAGGTTTCGTCACCCTTCTTATAAGCAGTAAGCCGTCCTGGCCTTTGTCCAAAAGGCACATCACTGTGTCTCTCGAGGTGGTCAGTGGAATGGGCGGATG